ATTTTACAAAATGACAAAAAAAAAACGCGTTTTCAATAATCTCAAAATTGACATTCAAAACTCAAAATTGAAATACAAAGAGAACGGTCCCTTATTATTTATCAATATTATAAGAAAAAATTCGAATTTAACCAAATAATATGAAGAAACCTTGAACGTGGAGATGAAGATGGAAGGTAAAACCTTGAAAATAGCAATGGAGATGGAAGAGATGAATAAACATTAATGAACAAGAAACGGTAAGATTTTCAAATTCTCAACGTTCAAAATGGAGGTAAAATGGGTATTGTCTTTTATTTAAAATTTTTACCTTTTTATACTTAAATTTGGTCAAATATCATTGTAAAAAAGTGGTCAAGTCAACCGGACATCTACCACCATTTCTTCACAGGCAAATTGGGTATCTAAATGAGGCAGCCCGAATTTTTGCGGGTGAAGATGATCGCCTCCCCCAAGCCCTTGATTTAGTGCTTCTTATCTAAAAAATTAGAAGGCATGGTATTGGATCAAACTAAACTCACCCATTGTTTTAAAAGTCTTTTTACTATAGGATCATTTCCAATCACATATTTATAAAATAAAATATTTTACACGTAAATTCAAATTTTTTCTTACTTTTTAATCACACTTTCTCCTAAAAATACTATTCAAAACTCTCTTTTTTTTTTTTTTTTTTAAATAATGGATGCTAAACGGGGAATAAGCTCATGTTTTATTCATCTTAAAATTTGAATTAAATTTTAGGCTTAATAGCAAAAAAAGCTCTTACATATTTGATGACGTACGATATAAACACACATAATGGAAATCCCAGAAAATAACCATATTTGAAACATTTTGTTCGAAATACCTTCTGCTGCCAAGATCTTTTAGGTTAATCGTTAAAAATAATAAAAATGCCAAAATTAAAACGGAATAATTGCAATTGCAATATCCAAAAATTTTATTATTTTTTTTATTTTTTACAAATAATACCTAAATTTTTTACATGTGTCAATTACAATCTCAAAGCTTTAAACTTTATTTTTCACCACACTCCACCCCCACCACTCATCATCTCACCCCACTTCATCTTCTTCCCCGTTGACAATGGTGATTTCACTATTTACTACGTTATAAAAAATTAGAAAATGCGGAAATCATATTGATAATCTTTGTACCACTGCAACTATCCACAAAAATGCATTATTTGAGTTTGCTTGTGAATTCGTTTTTAAATTCTTTTCAAAAATTGGGGGTTTCTTCTCAATTTTGACTTTGCCATTTAAAAGGTAATATTATGAATGTGTTTATGTGTTGCAACCTGAGATAGGTTGAAGAAGAATATGCACATTTTTCAGATGTGTACTATTTCGTGCGGGTTGTCGCTAACAATTAAAAAAAGATTCAGACAATTGTGTAAAGAACAGACCTCTTGAGACAAAGTCCCAAAAATGAGTGTTTTATTGGCAATGATTTACAATTGGAAATAAACAGAATGCCTCCAATGACGCAAGCACACGAGTACTAAAAGAAATGTTTAAATTTAAGTTAAGAAATTGAAATTACATATTCTCTGTTTGAGAGTGTTTGATTCGGGATCCTTTCTCTATGTCTTCTTTTCCTTTTTATACTTCCTTGATAATTCATTCATGATAAACCGCTTTGAAACTGTTTGATAACTTTGATTGCTTTATAACTACCCACTTTCTTCATAATGGCCGACTTGTCGTGGAACTGTCGTCTTTAACTGTTGTCATTACTCTCGTCGTTCAACCGCCTACAACTGTAATTCTTGGATCGTGGGGTGTGATAAGGTTGCTCAATAACCGCTTCAATAACTGCTGCTTTGAATAACCATAATATTTTATGTTTGCTAAGATCCTGGGCGATTCGAAAGTTTGGGCGAAAATATGATAGTTCGCGCTGGGCGATCTTAAGACGCTCCATTCGCTCAAGTCTTGGGCGTCTTGCATGTTTGGGAGATGATAGTACCTTGTTCGTAGGCCTCCACTGTATTCATTAATGGTCCTATTTGAACCTTCATCCAGGACTTCCTAACTGGGTTTCATCCCTTAGACTACTCGACTTGGGTTACACTTTTTGTATGTCAACATTTACATATTTAAATTATGTTTGCTTTAGGAATCATACTCAATTAGATATATGTTTAGAGCTTGTACAAAAATTCAAATGATTATGTGATTTGAAGTATCTAAAAACCTGAATCTTTAATTCAATTTTGTAGTACTGCATGTTTGCAAATTCAGTTAAATATTAGAGAATTTAATTTTGTGGGGATGGGGAAGAAGACGAGGTGCGGTGAGAAAGAAAATAAAGTTTTAAAGGCTTGGAATAGTGTATTGCACATATAATATAATTTTTTTTAAAAAAATTGTGTATTGCAACTGTGACTACTCTTTTTTAATTTTCGTATTTTTTACTGTTTTAACGATTAAACTGACAGATCTTGACGGCGAGGGTTACTTCAAACAAAATGTTTCAAACAATAACATTTTATACGATTTTCAATAGATAGAGAATATATCGCACATCATCAAATATGCATGGGATTTTTTGCTATAAAACCTAAAATTTTAAGTCGAAATCAAAATTAATTATAATCTCATATTTCAATAGATACATAACTTTTCAATCACGCATTCTATCGATTTTTATTAAAATCTACTAAAAATATTATTTTTGTCTAAATCAAACCGGAGCCAGACAAGTTGTTGATGGGAAAAAACAAAATAATGAATGAATATAAAGGGTGTTATTCAAATTTAGTAAAAATAAAAATAAAAAAATTGCCCTTTATTTAAAAAATTACTCGAAATACTCCTTAATTTTACTCAAAACTTTTTCCTATTTTGAAATTACTGGTGCTTACTGTTCAGGGAGTCTTCTTCAATGCATTCTTTGTGCTATACTTGCTGTCTCCCAAACTGGCTCATGAAGTTGTTGGGTATTTAGAGGAGGAGGCAATACATTCATAGACTGAATACTCGAAGGATATTGATAGTTGTAGAATCGAGAATGTCTCCGCTCCAGCTATTGTTATTGACTACTGAAGATTGCCTACAAATACAACTCTGAAGGACGTTATTGTAGGAGATTTTACACTAATAATGTGCTTATTATATTTATCAAGAACATGCGTTAATATGCATGAAATCGAAATATCATTCGACTTACCGAAATCTGATTTGATAAGACAAATAGTGCTTTACCGATTTCGAATATAATAATATGGATTCGTCACTTCCCAATATGAGTGAACACATTTTGTTCTTTAATTCAAACCTTGCATGAAATCAAAAGAATATTAATTACTTTCCGAAATCAAAATACTAA